TGGCCGTCGCGCGCCCCGCGCGCGCGCCTGGGAGGGGGCGGCGGCGAGGACGACGGCAACGACGGCGGCGGCGGCGGCCGGCGGTGGCGTCGTCGTCGTCGTCGCCGCCGTCGTCTGCAACAATGCCCCTCGGGCCCGCTGCTGGCTTCGGCATTCCTGGCCGACTCCCCGATTTCCCGACTGGCCGACTCCCCGATTCCCCGACTCCCCGACTGGCCGACTCCCCGACATCCCGATTCCCCGACTCCCCGACTCCCCGACTGGCCGCCCCAGGGCCCGAGACGCGCAAAAATCGCACCCCCCGTGACGACGGCGTGGGCGACGGCGGCGGCGGCGACGACGACGGCGTTGTCGTCGTCGCCTGGAGAAGGGCAGAGGAAGGAGGGCCAGTGATGCTGCTGACTTTGTTTGAAGCTGTCAGGTTTTTCGACGATCGAGAGGTTCCTTCTCGCCCCTCCCTCTTCGCCGCATAGTCTTCCTTCGTTGTGTTGCCATTATCGTTGGCGCAACGGCATCGCGACTGAAGCCGATAGACTACGCTCGAGTGCGCCCTTGCTGGTGATCGCGGTGGTGGTCGTGCTGATAGTTGGGCTGGTGGTTGCGCTGGTGGTTCATGCCATTTGGTCGCGTTGGTGATCGTGGTGTTGGTCGTGTTGTTGGCGGTCGCGCTGGTGGATGCGCTGGCCGATGGCTGTCTTGGAAGCGCCCCCCCAGCAAGTGCAGAGGGACTGCGTTCGAGTTGTCTTGTTTTGCTGGTGGTGCTGGTGGTCGTGCTGGGGTTGCGGCGGTGGTCGTGCTAGTGGTTCGTGCCAGGGGTCGGTCGTCGTGCTGTTGGTCGTACTGATGGCGGCCGTGTGGGTGCCCCCCCGTGATTTTAGACGATTGTGTCCGCTCGACTTGGCCCTTCTGGGAGTCGTGGTCTTGATCGGTCTGGTGGGTGTTTGATGGCGGTCGTGTTGGTGGCCGCGTTGGTGGCCGTCGTGGTAATGGTCGTGCTTGTGGTCGTGCTGATGGTCGTTTTCCTGGTCGCGTTGGTGTTCGTGTTGATGTCTTGCGATGGCGACCGCGATTCCTGGCAGCCACCCCGTGCCAGTGTGGACGATCGACTACGCTCGACCTGGCTTGTGTTTGTGGTCATGCGAGTGCATTTGCGGCGGTCGCGCCGGTGGTTCGTGCTGCTGATCGTGCACCTGGCCGTCCTGGCGCGTCCTGGCGGTGGTCGTGTTGGTGGTCGCGGTGATAGTCCTGCTGGTGGTCGTTATAGTGGGCTTGTTCGCGTGGTCTTCGTATGTGAAACGCGTGGTTTGCATGTGAGAAACGTCTGTTTGTTGCGTGACAAACGCATGGTCTGCAGCACTGAAACGCACAGTTTCCTTATGCGAAATCTGGGGCTTTCAGGTCAGAAACGCGCCAAATGTTCATGCGAGACACGTGGGAAGTTCTTATGCGCACCGTATGTGCTGCAGATGAGAGACGCATGTGTCTATTACGAGAAACGTGCGTGTTTCAAACGCCCCTACTACTGCCGCCCTGTACAGATACCCAGCAGAGCAAGCCAGCGCCCGCTCAGAATATCACTGCTGCGGACGGGTTGCTTCCCGATTGTTTTCCCTGGAAAACCACGTGGCCACTTAAGAGCGCGCGGCTGGCAGCCCAGACTTTCTCCAGATGGCTTGCAATCGAAGTCAATCGTGGAAAATCATCCGAAGCTTGCATTCCACATGTGCCCCTTCCGGTCAACAAGGGAAACGCCCGTTCAACTGGGGAATCATCGCCCATGCAACCGGGGAATAGATTGCTGCCGGCGCCGACAGGGGGGACTGGCCCACGGAGGGGAACATCGAGTCCGAATCGCCCATTCATCGCCAGTCAGGGCCGGGGTGCGACACCCCGCCCGAGAACGTTCGGTGTCACGATCGAGGGCCTGTCGCCGTGCTGTCGGCGGTGGATCGCCGATTCCAGGTCAACCTTCCCGAAGTCCCCCCTTCCGTCTCCCCGCGGATGGGGGTAGGAGGAGGTGGGTCGAGCAGGAGGCTGGGTTCTTGGTGGGGTGGGGGCTGGCGCTGCCGCCTCGGCTCTGTCCCAGAGGCGGGCGGCGGGCGCGCGGAGTGCGACACTGCGGGAGCGGCGGCGGTCCATAGCTGCGTGGAGTTGCTGCCGAGGCGCGGCATGCGCAAGCATAAACGAGTGCCAGCGTGGTCCCCGAACAGTGGGTTCTTGCACTCGGTGTGAGCTCTACCTGGTGCCGTTCACGTGGTGCAGCGCATGTGGTGCCGTCCACGTGGTGCAATCTGCGTGGTGCAGGCTCTGCCGAACAAGCCGTGGGGTCAAGTCTCTCTGGTGCAGGCTGCGGGGCGCACTACGTGCGGTGCAGTCTATGTGGTGCAGTACTTGTTCGGAAACTGGAACGTATACATTATTAGTGGCGGGCTCTTTTTCAATCCCAGGGCTTTTTTTGAGGCTCGGGGACGACGTCGGGGTGGTGTGGTGTTATACTTGTTTCCCCGTTTTCCCGCGGAAGCAACAACAAATGTATACACCAGGATGCCGTGTACACCATAATCCGTCCTCCTGTGCGAATCTCAGCGCGGGACCGGAAAAACGCATCGGTGTAGAAAGTTCGGTTCCTTATTTGCGGCGCTGGTGCAGTATCTGTAATGTGTGTTCGTGCACGTTGGCAGGCGAGCCGGCGCACGAGGCGCCCACGGATGGTGTGCCAGGCGAGAGCCCAGAGGTGCGAGCCATGGCTTCGAGCGCGGATGGCACTGGTGCGCGCCCTGCTTCAGGAGGGACAAAAAACACAGACACAATTAGTCGTAGATTCCCCAGAAAATATGGGAACATATGGGCAGTGGGGGGGGAAGACACAAACCCAGAAAATGTGGGAAAATGATGGGGAATCCTTTTATTTGTGTGTATTTCTTTGTGTGTCCCAGGGCCCCTTCAAGTCTTCCCAGCACCGTAGAGCCGTGGCTGGAGCAGGGGTGTTTGGGAGTTGCTGAAGGTGCCCCTGGGCCCAAGGTGTCCCCAGCTTGTCGTTCCATTTTGGTGCCCCGGGGGCCCTCTGGAAAAGCAGCGGGGCCATATGATGTACCACCTGATTGCTGGTTGTGTCCAACGATGTACGCGCATGCCAAGAACTTTTGGAGGGATGTCTAAGATGTTTGGCCGAAAAGACAAACCCGAAACATGGCGAACGGCGATCACTTCACTGTTGAAGATAGCAAACGCAATTTTACCCAGCAGATATCGTCCGATATTGCTGCTTGCGGTGGGGTGCGAAGATCTGGCGGCTATGTTGCGCCAGCGATTGCTTCAAGGAGGCGCGGAAGATCGTCTTATAAAACGCACAATTCGTATTCCGACCTCGCCGGGGTACCGCTGACGCACTCATGCTGGTGAGATGCGTGATCGGCGTAGCTCTCTTGAACAATAACGGTGGTCTCATTTTATTTCTCTGGGACTGGGCAAAAGCACTCGACCGTCTGAAGCCAGACTGCTTGTGCGCTGCTTTGTCTCGATGTGGGTTGCCGCGCCCCTTCGCGCAGACTCACGCCAGCACTTCAAGATAATTGACCACCGCGGTAAGTCTTCGCAACGGCAACAAGCAGCTGGCATCGCCCAGGAATCGTTTGATTCCCGTATTTGTTCATATGTGTGCAAATTGTGGTGTTCCACGACGTTTTCTTTAACCTCCACCTTAACAAGAGCCATCGTAGACGGTTACCAGGAATGATTGTATGCTGATGGTATTGCATTGATTTCTCAGCACCAGGGGAACCTACAGCACATGTTGGACGCCATCTTGCTGGACAGACAGAAATACAAATTGGAGCTGAACTGGGGCAAAACAGTACACACCCAAATCCGTGATGACAAGGTTGCGAAAACGCCGGATGGACGCCCAATCAAAATAGTGAAGGAAACTACATATTTGGGGGGCGTTGTGATTCATGATGGACGGGTGGGCAACGAATTATCAAGGCGCTTGGGAGAAGCCGAACGAGCTGTTCAGCAGTTGTCCAAATTCTTGGCGCATTCTGCCGCTGGTTGGCGGCGCAAGCTGCTCTTTTACAGCAGCTGTGCGCTTAGCAAATTGTTTTACTTTTGAATTTACTTTGGCTCCTGAGCCAAGACAGAGACAGGTTCGACGCTTTCCGCTGCAATCCTTTGCGCCGAAATCCTGCGAAGTCCCCACTCTTACGTCTCGCGTGTCAGAAACACGACGGTGATTTCAAAAGCTTGATAAAAAGCAATTTTCCGTAATCTTATTGGGACGCCAAGTGAAGGCGTACAGGATAATTGTTTCAGGGACCGACAGTTCGCTTGTGAGGCGAAAAGTTTGCAACGGCGACGGCGTTCCCAGAAAGTTGGTTTGCCTCCGGCGCTGGGGGCGCCCCAGACAACAGTGAGCAACTTCTGTTTACGACGCAGCATGACTGCGTGCGTGCCTTCGCGAGCACGCATAATTTGTTTTTTCGCCCACGCGTCCGCCAGGGATGCGCGACCGCAGTCAGTCAGCTGGGGCCTCGTGGGCCTCGTGAGGTGCGCTGTGGATGCCGTCGGGGCTCTTTGGGAATCCCGTGAGATGTTGGGCCAGGGGCGTCTCTGGCAACGCCCGCGGCATGGACACAGAAAGTGCGCGTCGCGGACGCGGCAGATTTCCGACGCGGCCGGTCAAGGCTGATGAACATCGGTGGCGCCCTGTCACCGAGAGGTGTTCAAGGATTGCGCAGTCGGAGAACCGCGGTTGCTCGCGGCGTTGTCAGGCCAAGAAATCCCGCTTCGCGATTTGTTTCGCAGCGCGTGGGCGTGGGCCCCCGGAAGTCGGGCCCCTTCCCCGGGACCGGTGTTTCATCTCGGTCCTGGTGCTTGGCGAGGGCCCCAGGAGGCCAGGAATGGTTCCAAACCAGCCGTCGTGATTTTTTAGCAACGCCGGTAGCGCAATCAGGTATGGGGAGGCCAGGGCCGCCGCCGCGGCGCCGCGTGCCCGCCGCAAGGAAAACGAGCTGGTCGGGAGCCACATGGCCCTGGCCGCCGCCGCTGGCGCAACCGCCTCGCAGCCGGCGGCCCTGGCAGCGGCGGTCGAGGCGCCTCAGGGGCAGCGTTGGAGGGGCGGGAATAGTCTCAGAGGGGGACGTATCGATTCCGAATCGCCCAAGCATAGCCGAGTGGGGCCCGATAGCCCACCCCTCCCTGGAGTGTGCGGATTCGCTATCGGCAACCGATCGCCGATCCATTGGCGATGCGTCGCCGATTCCAGGTCGATGTTCTTACCCTTGAGCTGATCCCCCCCTTATCGCTCCCCTTCCACGGGGCGGGGCCCGATGCGGTCAGTCCTGCGGCGCGGTCGATGTGCGATGGAACGCGGAGGGATTTGGGAGAGGAGGGAGAGGAACAGCTACGACACGAGACGGACCTGCCCCCATCGATGGGGCGAGCAGGGGAAGAGGAGCCAAATGTGGAGGATCGAGGTCGAGGAGGAGGAGGAGGAGGAGGACTCAGCGCCTGGCAGCGCCGCGCCGTTCGCCGCCGTCGGCGTCGTGATCCTCCTGCGTCCCTCTGCTAGAGAAAGGAACTTACCCGTCTGTTGTTGAAAGTAGGTGTTCCTGGGTCCCCCGATCCCAATATAAGTTACGCGACCTCGTACTTCAATCATCGAGTGGTTGTGACTTTTCCTTCCTATTCTGTAGGTGGGGGGTAACACAATCGACTTTCAACATCTTCCCACTTCATGCTTATATCCACTTCTTCCGTCCGATGGGTACCCAGTCTTTTCTGAAAGCAAGGCAACTATCGATACGAGCGCTCCATACAACATCACATGGAGAAATGTGCAGCACTGTGACAAGTTTGGTGCACCCCCAGAGAACCGCGAAGTCTCCCTGGGTTCGTGTGCAGCGCAACAGCGCTGGACCTCCAGGGGGCCCACGAGCCTCTCGACACTTACGCGGTGGGTAGCTTCCCCACAGAGCCGGGAGCTCTGGTCTGGGTGCGCGTTTTTGACGCCAGGGCGTTGGGCCTCCCAGGAGCCCACGAAAGTGGCGACGGTTGCGCAGGTGGCAGCCCCAAGGAGGAGGAGGAGGAGGAGGAGGAGGAGGAGGAGGAGGAGGAGGAGGAGGTGTGCGGCAACTAGCGAGCAGGAAACGTGCAGACAGGAGGCACAGGACAAGAGAAAAGGGAGAGGGAATTGAGCTTTGAGCAAGCAGTGTTCCACTCGACCAAGCAGTGTTCCACTCGACCAGAGAACCCAACACAGGAGGGTTGGGAAACAACAGAGGAAGTGCCTATATCATGTCTCGGTGCCGCTGCTTGTCCTGGAGAACCCTCGTCTCGACGGCTGGATTATCTTCGAAATTCTCGTTAGAATGTACCCTGGGAGAGGTCGGGGGAGTAGCCTCCCCAACAATTCACAAACATAAGCTTCCGGAGGTCAGCGCGGAGTCCCTGGATGGTTTTAGGCCCCCCTGCGCGCCAGTGAGGGGCGGCAGCGCCGATCGACTTACTCAAAGTGGACCTTCGAAAGCCAATGTTTGTGCTGAGTTTCCTTTGTCTATCTGCGGGCACAAGCGACTCGGGGATATCGGACACCCACGATGGGCTTCAGTGCGTTGCAGACATCTCAGACACCCTTCAGTGTACAGGAGGATGGGCCACGGCGCTGACGGTAGTGATGGCCTATCTCGCTTCTGACGCAGAATAGAGGAGGCCCAGGGAGGAGAGAGGCCCAAGAGGGGAGGGTAAGCTGACGCTTCTCTCTACAGCTGTACTGTTTTTTTTCTGGGCGCATGGGTGGGTGCGCGGTACCTCTTCAGCAGCACGAGCTCGACGAGAGCCTCGAGAGGCGGTGCCGTCAGACATGGTAGCGCTCACGGGCCTGGGGGAGAGGAGGGGGAAGGAGGGGGTGCGTGCAGGAGTTCCGCGGGTGAGCAGGATGAAAATGACCAGTGTCAATTTGCGAAACATCAGCGATTTCGCAACACCCTTTCCCTTCAATTTCCATCTTCATTGGTCCCTGCAAAAAATTGCTTTCGTTGCGGGAAGTGGCCTATTAGAAGACAACAGCTTAAGAATTCGCTAGAGTGCCAAAGCGTCAATCTTGTGATTTCAGCAAGACGAATGACTGTGATTGTTGCGTTCTGGCAACCCTGAATCGCCCCACAACACCGTTCAAAGGGAATTCAACACGGTGAATGAATGCGATTGTTGCGGCAAGACAATCCTAGACTTTGCTGGAACACCATCCTTGGGATTTCAACCATACGAATATTTGAATGTGGTGTAAGTGTTAAGACGAATGTGCGGGGCGCTGAAGCGAGAGCCACATTTTGAAAACCACCCACCCCCCATCCTCGAAACGGTTGTGAAATGTTACGCCGAATGTGCGCGGCGCTCAGGCGAGAACCGCATTTTGAAAACCACCCGCCCCCCATCTTTGAAAGTGTTGCAAATTATTAAAACGAGCGCGCGCGTCGCTAAGGCGAGAGCCACATGTTGAAAATGACCCGCCCCCCGTCAGCGAAAGTGCTGCAAATTTCAAGATTCAGGGTCATAAGTTGTGAGGAAATCTCAGGCGAAATACCCAGCCGCCCTACCGACACGCTTGAAATGCAACAGGGAGGAACTACATGTAAGGAAGAGTGGGGGAAGAGGAGGAGGAGGAGGAGGAGGAAGAGAGCCATTACACACTCCCTACGCTTATGTATACAGCCCTCCACTCTTTTCCCTTGCAGAGTGTTGGTAGGGTATGGATCATGCGGAGGGACTGTCTCCGCAACTGTATATACTTACTCAAGCAAAATCGCGCGCGCCTGCCGACCAGGCGGGCCTGCCATACGCACGCGCATACGGGTACATTATACAGTGCGTAATGTTGTTCCGCTTAACGGACTTATTTAGCTATGTACTCACCAGCTCGCACTGGGAGGGTAGCTTTTCGTAAGCTACTAGGAGAAGAAGATCAAAGAGCAGAACAACGTATTAATACCTATACACGTTTGTCTAATATGATGATAGATGGGCAAAACACGGGTTATCAGCCGGAAGTTCTTCCACGATACCAGGAGGCACCCCCATCGGGAATTGGTGATGGTGATGTTTTTGGTGCACCAGAACATTTGCGGCCGGATGCGCCTAGGCCGGGATATGATCCTAACGTAGGCACGGGAGTACCACCCATCGATGTATCTTCGGGCGACGACGCATGTGACCTTTCCTCTTCGACACTCGATGCTCATGTCGAGACGTGCGAGGGGGACAGCAATCGTCAAACCGATGGTTTATTTTGTCGCTTATTCGGGCAATGTCGTCAGGAACACGAAACCCTGTCCAGTTCGAAACTCGACGCAGCTGAAGACCCCTGACGAGGATCCATTCCCTGGGGGCACTCCACGAACACCGACGGCGAAACAACCCCGAGACAACATGATGTTGTAAAAATCGCACGGCGCCCCCTTCGCCCGAGAGAACCGGGGCGAGCCGCTCGGGGCGACAGACGGCAAGTTCTGGCAGGACTTCTATCTCAAGGGCCCGCTCGCCGAGGTCTCGATCTGGAACGTCTGCCAGGTGGCGGGGGCCACGGGCGACGTCGGGGGCGTCGCCGCGACCGCCGTGCACGGATCGCTCGAACGATTCAAGCTATCGCACATTAGAAGAATGTTTGTCGCACAGGGGTCGATTGCGCCGACGTCCCAGAGTTCGGATACCTCGCGTTGTCTGACACGTGCCAGAAACCTGTATGCTATTCGCCTTCAGTGAATTGCCCTGAATGCAATTTAGGTTTGCTGCGCCTCGGCTGCGTAGTTCCCAGCGCGCATAATTGCGCGGCCCTCCGCCACCGAGAATGGGGGGGATGCCAGAAAAGAGACGCGCCATCCCGATGGAAGATCGAGAAAAAGAGATGGCGCACGCGCAGGAACAGTTCAGGATCGCGGAACTTCAGCGGGGGGCGGCGGCAAGGCTACAAATCGTGGAAAACCTTCAGGCCGCTGCTCGCGCCTTGGAAAGCTCTGAGGAACGCCCACGTCTTGCAATGGTTCACAGAACCATGTTGAGATGAAAGACACGGCGCGCCGACTCGGGGCAAATGAGGCGGCAGGGAGGCAGGCGCGAGCTGTTGTTGAGGCAATTGCTGAAAAGGCTGCTTCTGCTGTCCAGGGGGCCAGTCAAGGCCAAATGACGGCAGTGGATCAGCTGACCGCTGAACTCAAGGCCGCAGTAGCACGCCATGCGGAAGTGACGTCGGGGGCCAACATTGAGATTCAGGAAGCGGCCGCCGGCATGAGGGCCGCTGTCGAAGCGGCCGAGCGCGCCGCGGACGAGAGCGCAGTTCTGCATAGAGCCCGAGGTGAAGTCGAGGACTCTCGACAGCGGGAGCACGCCATCGCCTTGGAATCGAAAGCCTCGCCCGCGCGCGATCGTCGAGGCCGGGGGGGCATCGCTAAGAACTCAGACGGTGGAACAGGGAGCCAGCGTCAACCTAGGCGCCGCGCCCCGAAACGCAGAGGTGGCTGCGACGCAGGCGCTCGAACAATGGGAAGCTCGCCACGAGGCGCAGCATCACGAATTGTCGGAATCGACGGCGACAACCCTCGGTGCTGTCCATGAAAGACGGCGATCGCAATAAAGGGCCGATCAGCAGTTGTCCTCAGGAAGTGGGCGGGCGCCAGGATGCTCGCTTTTCAGCGCGCGTGTCTCGTCGAGAGCCGAGAGACAGATGGACCTACCATGGGGGAGATTGAGACATGACTGGAAGAAACGTTTAATTGGTTTCTAAATTCTGAACGCTCGCCTCCTGAGTCATTCGCCCCCGGCGGCCCCAACAGCGCTGTCGGGTCGGTCAGGGCTTCGAGCATGCATCCCGCGTTCCCGCGCAGGTTTCAAGTTTGAAACGCAGCGAGGCACGGCGCCCCCGATCCGCCGCCAGCAAGGCCGGCTAGCATTGGAACCGAAGCTGAGCGGCCGGCAGATAATATGGAGGATCTCTCGCTCATTCATAAAGTGCTCCATTCAGACATGCGCGCGATGAAGCCTTTCTATGGGCGCGCGCGCGCCATCTGAATGATCAGCCTCCGCCCTGTAACTTCGCACG